GAGAGAGAGAGAGAGAGAAAGAAAGAAAGAAAGAAGAAAAGAAAGAAAGAAGAAAGAAAGAAAGAAAGAGAAAGAAAGAAAAGAGAGAGAGAGAGAGAGAGAGAGAGAGAGAGAGAGAAGAGAGAAGATGAGAGAGAGAGAGAGAGGAGGAGAGAGAGAGAGAGAGAGAGAGAGCAACATTGAAAGTGATAATAACACAGCTCGTTATCAAAAAAAAAAAAAAAAAGAACAAAAAGCATGACTGTGAAACAAACAACAAGGAAAACACATAAATGAACGACAAAAGCAATAACAAATTCATAATAGTATAACAACAACAATAAAAACAAAACCAATCGATGGCAACAGTCTGTCGTCAGTTGCCAATACATTTTTTTTTAAATTTCAATTATATCACAAAGCGGTAAATATAACATGCTTATCATATAAACAAGGTGGTAGTTGTATTTTGATTATATGCAGCATTAGCACCTTAATTTCTCTTGGCACAAAACTCAACTCTTGTAAATATAGATGTGAGATATATTTCCCTCGTGTCAAGATACGTAAGCCATAATCAAACTGATAAAAAAAAAAACAATTCTAACAACAATCAACATCAACGAAGCTGCTATATTGACAGAAAAGATATAATTGTTACAATAAGGCTAGAACGCAAACCTCTTTATCACAGAAGATAATACAGATAACAATACCTCAATATAACCGAGCATCGTACATCCGCCACCCTCGCGAAAACCCCCGATGAAATTATCGTACATCAAATGATTACTAATAACAGCTTAAATAAACCGCGGAAAAAAAAGAATTTAAACCCAAATGAAAAATAGATCCAAATGCATTAGACTACTGAGCATGGAAAAAAATAACGAGAATACACAAAAATTGTTTTAAAACGCGCGGAGAAAATGTAATATGAAAATGACAGGTCGCCCCCATTATCCTTGTATCCATCCAGCACTGAAGCGCCGTAGATTGGTGCGACTTTGAGAGGGATCAGAACAAAGGACTTAAAGCGAAAATGCGCATAAGAGGAATCCACGATAAACTAGAATAAGAAGAAAACGTGAAAATTAATAAATGGTGTATATATACATATATAAACACAACGTCATCACTGTAGCGAGAACAAAGAGATGTGTATGAACGTGAAACTTTTTTTTTTTTAATGTAGGAAACAAAAACATACAAACAAAAAAAGAGAAACAGCATAATTAGCCACAGAAACGAAAGAAAACAAAAGAAAAGAAAAAACAATAACAAAGAGTGATAAAGTGACGAGCGAACAACAACAAAAAACAACAAACAACAACAACAAAAAAAGTATGAGGATAATAAAGAAAGAAAAGAAGTAAGAAGCAAATGATACAAAATTCACATGGTCTGACACTGACCTTTTGATGAAACAAATGTCTGCATGTGTCAAATAATATACAAGAATGTTGGAGACGGGGGGGGAGGGGGAGGGGAGGGTCATCGGTCTTTCTGAACTTCCCCCCCCTCCCTCCCCTCCCCTCTTCAGTTCTCCTCTCCCCTTCCCTCTCCTCCTCTTCTTCCTTCCCTCCTTCTCTCCCTCCTTCCGTCTTTCTCCTTTCCCTCCTCCCTTCGTCTTTTTTTCCTCCTCTTCCTCTTCCCCTTTCCTTCCTTCCTCCCTTTCCTCCTTTCTCTTTTCTCCTTCTTTCCTTTTCCTTCCCTATTCCCGTCTGCTAGTCCTTCCACCCCCACTATCTCCCTACCCCTCCCCATCCCCCCCCTTCCTCCTCCATCTGCCATCCCTCTCTTTCCCTCTCCTCTCCCTCCCTCCGCTCCTCCTCCCTCCCTTCCCGTTCCCTCCTGTCCCTCTCCTCCCTCTCCTCCTCCCGCTCCTCTCTCTCCTTCCAGTCCCTCTCCCCTCTCCTCTCTCTCCCCTTCCCCTCCCACCCCTGGCTCTCTCTCCCCCCCCCCCTTCCCGCTCCCTCCCTCGTCCTCTCCCTCTCGCCCGCTCCCTTCCTCTCCCGCTCCAGTCCCCCCCTACCCCCACCACCTGGCTCCTCTTCCTCCCCTCTCTCCCTCTTCCCTCTCCGCTCCCTCCCTCCCTTCCCCAACAACACCTGCTCCTCTTCCTCCCCCCCTCCCCCCCCCATCCCCAGCACACGCATGAAGGCTGTTTTTTTTCTTCAGGACACGTGTTCTCGGCGTGTCTATGCATGACATTTCCTTCTCTCTCTCTCTCTCTTATCTATTTCGTTCGCTCTCTTTGTCTCTCTATCTGCCTATCTCTCTCTCTCTGTTTGTCTATCTGTCTGTCAGTCTCTCTTTCTCTGTCTCTGCATTCTCTCTCTCTCTGGTCTCTGTTTGTCTATCTCTGTCAGTCTCTCTTTCTCTCTCTCTCTCTCTGCTCTCTCTCTCTTCTCTCTCTCCTCTCTCTCTCTCTCTCTCTCTCTGTTTTTGTTTGTTTGTTTATTTACTTTCTTAACTTTTTTCTTATTTTTGTTTTTGTTTCTCTCTTTGTCTCATAACTTATGGGACTGACATCTTGTCAGTCTGTCTGTTTCTTGCCCCTCTTATCTTGTCGTCTAAAATCTCTTATTTCTTCTTCTTTTCCCTTCCCCACCTTGTCCTTCGTCCCTCCCTATCTCCACTTCTCCTCCCACCTTCACTTCCTACTTCTCCTCTGCTCCTCCCTCGGTCTTTCTTCTCTCTCTTCTCTTTTTCTTTCTCTCTCTCTCCTCATTCCTTCCCTCACTCCTCCCTTTCCTCCCGCTAATCCTCTTCCCTCTCTCCCTCCCTCGCTCCCCTAATCCTTTCCCTCTCATCCCTGGCCTCGCTCCCTCCCTAATCTCATCCCTCTCTCGCTGCCTCCCTCCTGCCCGCTAATTCCCTCGCTCTTTCCTCGCTCCTATCCTTCCTATCTTTCCTCCCTCCTCTAATCTCCTCTTCTCTCTTCCCTGTCTCTCGCCTCCTCCCTAATCCTCTCCTCTCCTTCTCCTCCTCTGCTCTCCCCTAATCTCCCTCCTCTGCTCCTGCCCCCTCTCTTCCTTTTCCCTATCTTCTCTCCCGGCTCCTCCCTCCTCCTCTCTCTGCCCTGCTCGCCTCCATTCCTCCCTCATCTCGCTCGTCCCCGTCACTCCTAATCCCCCTCTCTCTTCCTGCTCCTGCTCTCGCTGCTCCCTCCTCCTCGCTCTCTCCTTCTTCCGTCCCTAATCTGCGCCTCTCGTCTCTCTCCCTTCACTGCCCTAATCCTGCCCTCTCTCCTTCGCTCTCTCACTGCTCCCCTTCCTCCCCCTAATCCCCTTTCGCTCCTCTCTCCCTCCTTCTATCTTTCCTCCCTCCCTCCTCCTCAATCCTCCCTGTCTCTCTCTTCCTCCTCCTCTCTCCTCCCTCCCCTAATCCTCCTCCTCTCCTCCTCGCTCTCCCTTCTCCTCCTCTTCCCTCCCTCCTTCCCTCCTTCCTCCGCTCCTCATACACACCGAAAATAATCTATTCGTACCGACAGCATGACCTGGATACGCTCAGAAACGATCACAATGGCACACAGACAGACACAGACGCACACAGACTCCCCCTCCCCCCCCTCCAACTGGACCCTTCCCCCCACGATTTCACAAACTGGTACACCAGCCAGACACGAGGCACATCACAGACTTCCGCTTGAATACCCACCTCCCCTCCACGAATACAAACTGGCACACAGACAGACACAGACGCCACAGACTCCCCCCCCGCTCCAGATCTCACACAGAGACACAGACGCACACAGACTGCCCTCCTCCCCCACGATCACAACTGGCACACAGACAGACACAGACGCACACAGACTCCCTCCCCCCCCCCCCACGATCACAAACTGGCACACAGACAGACACAGACGCACACAGAGACTCCCCCTCCTCAGAAAACGATCACAAACTGGCACACAGACAGACACAGACGCACACAGACTCCCCCCTCCCCCCCCCCACCCCACCCCCACGTACATATATGTCGGGGCATACATATCCTGATGGAGATGCATGGATATTCATGTACGCATAATGAAGGTGAGAAGAACTAGGCAGATGCAAATAAAGGCACAGAGACAAAGACAAAGATGCAATTATACATACACACACGATACACATAAATAGGCACAGATAAACGAACGTACGTACACACGTACATACACACACACACACACACATACATAAACACACACACCACACACACACACACATACATAACACACACACACATACATAAAACACACATAAACATACATACATAAACACACACACACATACATACATAAACACTCACACATTCTTACACATACATACATAAACACACACACACATACTTACATAAACACTCACACATTCTTATACATACATACATAAACATACACACACACACACACATACATAAACACACACATTCTTACACATACACACACACACACATACATACACACCACACATACACATACATACATAACATACACTACACATGTTCTTAAACATACATACATAAACACACACACATACATAAACACACACATGCTTACACATACATACATAAACACACACACACATACATAAACACTCACACATTCTTACACATACATACATAAACACACACCACACCACATAAACACACACACATCACATAACACACACACATACAACAAACACACATCACACATACAAATAACACACAATATTCACACACACATACATAAACACACACACACACATACATAAACACTCACATGCTTACACATACATACATAAACACACACACACACACACACACATACATAAACACTCACATATTCTTACACATACATACATAAACACACACACACACACGCACATACATTCATCCACATATACATACATAAAAACACACACGTGTAGAAAAACACAGACAGCAAAAATAAGGAAAAATTATAAAGAAAAATGAAGAAGTAAAAAACAAAATAAAATAAAAAAAAATAAAATAAAAGCCAATAATAAAGTAACACAAAAAACACAATAAGGTCACAAAGACAAACAAACAAAAAAAACGCAGTGCACAAAGTCAACGATTGATGATGATGATAATAATAACAATACAAATAATATCAATAACAATAATAGTATTAAGAACAACAGCAATGAGAATATTAATAAAAATAGTGGTAAGTAGAAGGATAATGATAATAATAATGATACAATCAATATTAACAAGAATAATATAAAAATAACAAACGGTAAAAAAACGTACACACAAATACAATACCTCTCTCACACACACAAACACGCACACGCACACAACACACACAGCACACACACACACACAAAACCAGACAAACACAACACACACACTCACACAACCCCAAACACACACACGTACAAACACACACACTCACACCACACACCCAAACTCACACACACACACACACACACACACACACACACACACCACACATACTCACACACCAAACAAAACACACACACGTACAACCCAAACACACACACAGACACAAACACACACACACACAAAACCCAAACACACACACACACATACACACAACAAGAACCAAACACTACACACACAACAACACACACAAACACACACACACACACACATACTCACACAAGAACCCAAACACGCACACACACGTACACACACACACACACGCACGCACACACAGACATACACTCACACACACACACATGCACAGAAGGCGACACGAAGCCTCGCCCACGAAGTACAAACCCAGAATTCTTTTCACTAAGCCACTGTATCACTCCCAGTCGAAACACCCAGTCACTGCACAGACTTTTTTTCCTGTAACGTCAATTTAATATCAAATCGATTCGTTTTCTGATTCAAACACACTTTTTCTTTTTTTTTTGAGAACATTTTTTAATAACATTGAGGGGAATCTAATATCGGTTCTGTTCTCGTTCATTTTCTGACGAGCATAAATGTTTTTTTGTTTGGACGTAAATGTTTTTGTTTGAACGTAAATGTTTTTGTAAAAAAGATACACGTTATTCAGTATGTTTTTTTCTTTCTTTCTATCTTTGGTTCTTCTGAATTTCTGCATGTTCTTAACTCTCGTGTTTCCTCCACGTCTCTCTCATTTCACAAATTCCGAAAAAGGAAATACACAAAGCACACGAAACCAACGAAAAAGAAAAAGAAAAGAAAATCAGAATTTCCATTTCCCATTTTAGGGGAAACTCAAACAAATCCAACTTGTCGAAAAAGTGAAAAAAAATACGAACGTGTCTCTCGTTCAGTGAAAAAAAAAATACGAACGTGTCTCTCGTTCAGCCGAAGCCAGGCCAGAAAGGAAGCATCCCCCGTCCACATACACGTGTGCGTATGTATGAACGTATGTGTGCGCAAGCGGGGTGTCTGTATTTGTTTCATTATAGAGGTGGAAGTGAACAAAACAGGCTGGCTGACACTGGCCGAGGGTCCAGGTGTGTGTCGTGGCTGTTGTATTATTCACGGCGAGGCCTCTGGGCGCCGAGACAAGGTCTGCATGTGTTTTAAAATCGAGTCGATAAATAGAAATTCGGGGCGGAGTCAAACGGCAAAATAGCAACAAGAAACAACGGCAGATAACAGTGGAAGAAGAGAGAAAGAAGAGAGAGAGAGAGAGAGAGAGAGAAATGTGTGGTGTTCCTTCGTGGTGGGTACAAAGCTGAAGCTATTTTGGAAAGAAAGGGAGAGAGGAAGGAGTACATATTCGCACTAAGAACAGCAAAAAAAGAAAGAGCAAAATATGTGATTTTTATGCATCTATCTAATTTTAATTCCTCACGGCCACTTACACAACCGCCATCAGCGTCTGAGTTCCCTAAGCACATCAGATCGCCAAGGATTATTTTCAACGTCTACATTGTCATGGACGCAAAAATCTCGTGTTGATTTCCACCGCTGGGGCGCGCGTGTACAAGCCGAGCAACACACGATCGCGTCCGTCCTCCCCTGACACTCGCGCAACACTGCCAGACGAGGCTGGTGCGGCGTCCGTGTTTGGGTCCGTCAGCTGATTTGGTGACGTCACACACACAGCGTCTCGGATGTCTGAAGAAGTCTGCACTCCCTTCATCGGCCGATTCCTCCCTCCCGCGGCGTCCTGGGGACCTCCAAACCTCTTTGATAGAATCTAAGAGACCGAATCCTCCCGCCGGCGCAGCTACGGAGGACGCCAGGACCCCCGAAGAGTGCGAGAAATGCGGTTAAAGATAAGTGTCTGGCGAAAGTGGCAGACGCGCGCGCACGTGGCTCCCTTAAGCCGTACAAACAAACATTGATTGGCGCTGTTGCCATGCGGGGTTCGGGTAGCGCGCCCCTGGATGCTACGGAAGAGGGGAGAGAGAGAGAGAGGGGAGAGAAGGAGAGACAGAGGAGAGGGGAGAGAGAGAGAGGGGAGAGAAGGAGAGACAGAGGAGAGGGGAGAGAGAGTGGGTGAAAATAGAGGAAAGAGAAGGATGGGAGAGGGGAGAGAGTGGGTGAAAAATAGAGAGGAAAGAGAAGGAT